CAACTCGAGAATCAGAAAAGCTAGAAAGCTGAAATTTCGGCAGTATGTGCCTACACCAGTTGCGATTTTTCCGTTTTAATATTAACACCCGCGTATTTATGGCGAGAGGGGGAGGCACAAATACTGCAAAAGAGGCTAAGGAAGAATGGGAAGGCGAATGCACGTTACTTCATGCTGCTTTCAAGACCGTCAATTATGGTGGAGCATTTGGGAAGCGATTCACAGTTCGAGATATCCATGCCAATCTCGAAGATATCGTTGAGCAGCAAACCCATCTGCTGCCATCGCCTGCAAATCACTAGCATCGTTGCGCACACGTACTCAAATGCAGCACCTCAGAAACGGACGCATATTGCCCTATTTCATGGAATAACCTTTTCAGCACAGAAGTCATGCTATACCGTCCAGCGCTTATTCGAAATGCCTTCATATATTTCCCATAAATTATAACATGGAGCGTTGCGAAAAACCCAAAGAAATCTGTGTGATATGTCCAAGGCCGGCCATCCTTCAATTTATCTTATTGCAGTTTCTCCTAAAATAAGATGTTACGAACGTGTGTGTGTGTGTGTGTGTGTGTGTGCGTGTGTGTGTGCGTGTGTGTGTGTGTGTTTGTGGGAATTAGTAAGGAATCATTTATGATCCAGTCTAGAGCGCACTAGGCGAGCCGATAAGGGATCATGCGTTTTCGCACTATTTCTTGCTCTAGCAAGATTGCAATGAATAGCGATAGCTAGGATTTGTGACATACTGGCCGTCGAAGTCCAGGAAGTTAATTGCGCAGCTACGTAGCATGTCACCTGTAGATGCAGCTTCAGTAGCCTGACAAATGGAAAGTTGCTGGTGCGCGAAAAAAACTCCACCAGAAGAGATGAGCTTGAAATCTTTTAGGCACAAATCGGTAGGGAATATCAACTTTCTAGATTTCCTCATTACCGAGTTGGCGATTTTCCTGCCAAAATTTCCATGTACCCGTACGTAGGTCCTAGCCTCTTCTGAGGGGCTGAATTTGAAATCTTTCGATCATGCGTGAGTAACGAACACTTAACATTTCCGTTTAGCTTTCTATCTTTTTCCGTCCCTGAGTTAGTGATTTTCCGGCCAAAAGTTTTACGTGCCCGCACGTGAATCCCGGGCTGTTCAAAGGAGCCGAGTTTGAAAACTTTTGGTCGCATGTGAGTGGGGAAAATTTCCCCAAATTTTTGATTTCCTCGCTTTTCTCACCACCGAGTTATTAATTTTCCCGCCAGAACTTTCACATGGCCGTGCCGGGGCTTAGATTGCGCATGAGGGCTGGTACCGCGGTCCTACGGTGGTACTTGGCCGAGGAACATATTGGCAAAATTTTAGCTCCGAAGCTTGCGTGGTTGGCGAGTTTAAATACCCGGACAGAATGAACACACATACACACACACACACACACACCACACATTGACAGGGGTATGTGTTTTTGCTGCTTGACAAAAACGCATAAATATATTACAATCGGAAGATGTTACAAAACATGTTAGTTTCGCAACAAATTGCTAACGAATTGGGATGCGTTTTCATAAAAAATAATTTAACTAAAATTTAGCAACAAATTGAAACGCAAAAAGACTACAGCCAAATTTTACCTGCATCTCAAAGCAGTCGAAAGCATCAGTACCGGCCTTTTCCTCGAAATTTGCATCCTTCGAGGGAGAGCTCATATCAATGACACGACCCCAGTCAGTTAGCTTCATTGTAAACGATCCCTTATCAGGTATTTCCTCCATCGTCGCTTTCTGATTCAGTCTATAAGAAACCACTGAAATTTTTGATTCTAAACGATAATTCTTGAGTATTTTGTACTTCATGGCTGTTCTGCGCGCATGAATTTGATGCTGA